CCCCCGCGGCTGCGGGGTGGAGGTGCCGTGCCGTCCCGAGGGAGGCCTCGGTGTGCTGTCAGTGCCCAGCGTTAGGCGTGTCAAGCGCAGTTGGGGGTAAATCAGGTGACAGGTTATGCTGAGTGACTCCCTCAGAAAGGTAGAGGAAGCGCGACTGGCGCTGTGTCCTTAGTGCGAGTCAGGAACGAGTGAGGAGTGGCCATTGGTGCTGTGCTGTGACTTGGGTGTTCCCTGGAACACACAGTTAATGCACGCGTGAGCCTGAGCCCTGTGCTTAGGTTCGTAGTTAAAAGCTTGAAAAACACCAGGTGGCAAGTGTTTCTTGCACAGGCACTGTTGTCACAGTTTTTCAAAGCCATCAGTCTTTTGCAGTTTACACCCTTACATCGACAAATGTGCAGCAATGTGGGTGTAGAAACAATTCCAGATTTCAGTTAATCACTCTTGTTCTGCTACATAACTCAGATCATTAGTCTCACCTGGTTTGCTGCATAGAATCATAGAATTTCATTGGTTGGAATGGACCTTACAGATCATCATCTAGTCCCAACCCCCTGCCAGGGCCAGGGCCACCTCCCCACTAGACCAGTTTGCTCAAGGCCTCATCCAGCCTGGCTTTGAACACTGCCAGGGTCGGGGCATCCTCTACCTCCCTGGGCAACCTGTGCCAGTGTCTCACCACCCTCACAGTAAAAAACTTTTTCCAAATATCTAACCTAAATCTCCTCTTTCAATTTTTACCCAATGTAGTTTGTACCCAATGTACCCATTTGTACACACGTCTCTGTGAGTCTTTGCATTGGCATCAGTATGCAGAGAGCACCACGATTTTTACCCAATGTACCTATTTGTACACACATCTCTGTGAGTCTTTGCGTTGGCATCAGTATGCAGAGAGCACCACGTGGAGGATAGGGCTGCTTCTTCCAGCAGCAGTGCTGATGTGTACCTGTTTAAAATGACAGTGAAACTTTGGCACTAACTGGGAATGTTATATGGAACAGGGGAAGAAAACAAAGTGGATGGCCTGCCGTGCATTTGAAATGCTTACAGCCAGCATTTGGGTGTGATCATCTGCATCTGTGCCATGCTCAGACTATGCAAAGCACACAGAGCTGAGGGATGGCAGAGCTTGTCTTCTGCAGTAGTAACTGTGCATGTACAGGTAGCAAATCAGGCAAGAATCATGTAGCCGTTCTGGCCTAATGCACAGAGTTATGGGAGTAAGAAGATCTGGTTCCACCTCCTGATCATGTCACTCATCCAATGGGACTTGTCTTTTCTGCATCTTAGTCACTTCACCCTCTCTGCCCCTGTGGTTTCTTTGGTCTTCGGATGAAAAATGCTATATAAAACTAAGCTATTGCAACGATTACTTTGGTTATGATTTACAAGCCTTTGTGAGAGCTCAATAAACTTGTAAAATAAAACACTTGTAAAAATAAATACTAACAAGTATCATCACATGATAGTTAGGATATTCTTGAAGCCACAATATCCCATGGGTTCCTGAAAATCAAAAGCATAGAATAAAGAGCTCTCTGTGGAATCTTCCTGTGGCAGGTAGTAGCTGCTGGGAAATGTTCCCCAGTTTCCTAATCTGAATTATGAATGGCAGGATTAACAGGTAGCAGCAGCTCCACAGGCTCTACTGAGGTGATGTGGCCCATAGATTAGTTTGAGAGTTATGCAGGGAAGTGATTCTGACTTCAGATTTGCGACATGGCCCCTTTGCCTGTATGCAATGAGGAAAAAAGTTCCCATGTTCCTGGATGTTCAGTGTGTCTTAATTCCATGTGAATTCTGTGGGCTGTTAGCAGCAATGCAGATTGCCAGTAGTGTGAGATATGACTGATCTGTGAGTTTATTGTAGTAGATGAAAGTGGTTTATTAAATGAACGTTTTGAGTAGGAGTTTACTGTAAAGGAAGGTGCTGAGTCGTGAAAATAGCAAGTGTTGAATTGCTCCGCAGGTGAAAGTGCTGGTTTTGTGGTAGCAGAGAGAGATATCTTTTCAGTGCAGCTTGCCAAAGGTCTAGCTCTGCCTCACAGCATAGCTGATACTTCCAGACTCCTATGTAGAGTCTGACTGTGTGTGCTGAGTTTCTTGGTGGTGAACAGCAAATTAAAGAACAAGGATTCCTTTTATCATCAAACTTGTGATAGCTGTGTGATGCTGTGACATCAAGGGAGGTTAGTATTGTTTTCTTCCTACATTTCATACTCCTTGTTATTACAAATGTATGCATTTGTGAAAGAAATACATTTCTGTCCTTCATTCATTCTTCATTGTTTTCTCTTTTGCTGTCAGCATCTTGGAGAGCCAGGACAAACCTTTGTTCAGTTGTTCAATGCAGAGGAAGAGATTAAGAGGAAGAGATTAGCTAAAATCGGTTTTATATCTTTTTGTTTACATATGTTTATACAGAAAAGCCTTAATGCTCATTTCTTCTCACAGATGCTGAAGTCAGTGCAAGACAGAAGACATTCAGTGAGGTCCAAGCAGAACGACTGGATCAAGCTGAACGGACTGTTTTAATTAAGTGCCCACCAAAACTTAATGAAAAGAAATTATTGCAGTATTTATCTACTCATGGAAATGTTAGGAGTCATTTCTTTTTTGAAAATCGTGTAAGTAACTAACTATATAAACTAAAATCTAGACATAGACAAAAAGAAATACCAGCATTTGGTCAAGGCCTTATACATGCAAGTTAAGCAGATTATATATAATTAGTATATTGAATCAGGTTTTGTCTGTGTTAATGTTTACAAGTTGCTGAGCAGCAGATTTTTATTTGTAAGTCAGCTAAGCAACATCCCTAAGGGTTAGCCAGCAACCTGATGTGCACTAAATCTCTGAAACTGACGTAGCATTGTTCATTGTTCTAACCATAGAGATAACTCTTTTATTCTGTGTCTTTCTTGTGCATTTCAGTTGTGAAGATAAATAAATTTCAGAACTTGCATGTGTAGTGCTTACTGCCAAGAATAGTACATCTTAAATATTTTTAGCCTCTTGTAAAAAAGTGTTGAAAACCTGCTGAGATACAGAACCTAACACTCACCTTCAGGGCTGTCATGTTAAACTGTCTCAGTATTCCCAGGAACATCTGAGTAATATCAGTATTGTCAGTTCAAGGCTTGTATGCATTTATCTAACCCTGTATTTCCATTCTTAATGTTTTAGGGCATCAGTGCTTTGGTAGAGTTTTCTGAAAAGAGCAGTGTAGCCTCATTGCAGGATGCTGTTGGAGTGCCAAGTGCTGCAGAGCATCATGTTGTCCCATTTAAATCTAGACTTTTTACTTTCACGCTGAAAAACCCAGTGAGTCAACTTGCTGAAGCAACACCACTTCATCTTGCTCCTCAGAGTCACATTCCAGTGAAGGACCTTATTCAAAAGCTCTGTCTTGCAGACAGTGTAAGTAGAGATTTCTAGATCTCTCTCAATTAAAAATGAACCATTTCATTTCAGATTTGCAAGTGTTCATGTGAAATTTATAATGCAACTTGTTTCTATTAAAAAAGTAACCCCTATCAGAATCTTGTGTGACTGGTTCTACATTAAAACAAATAAATGAAACTAGTAATTTTAATTGTGAAAATAATTTATCTGTATGAAAGAAACCTGTTTGAAATTTTAAAAAATAATCTTCTAATTGCAGTAATAGAAGATGGGTCGTTGTATTTTTACAGTGTTTATTTTCTGAACTAGATAAGCAGTCAGATGTACACTCTACTGAATGAATATCAGCTGACAGAAGAAAACATCAAGCTTCGATTTCTGGCCTGTTCTCTGGTTCGGGATTTCACACGTGCATATTTTCCAGACAGCACTGTAAAGCCATTTGGCTCTTCAGTCAACACCTTTGGCAAATTGGGATGTGATGTGGACATGTTTCT